TTATTTATTCATTAAATAATATCAAAAAATATTTAATATAAATAATAATATAATAAACAATTATTAATTTATTTAATCAATTTTATTATTTCTAATTTAACGATATTAAATTATTTAAGAAGAATGATTGGTTGATCTAAATTTTTATTAGTTCAGGTCAGGTCAGATCGACCTGTTGACCTGACCTGACATCAACCTGAAAATCTATTGACCTGACCTGAATTTTCAGATCAGTTCAGGTCAGATAAACAGGTCAACTTGATCTAATTTAGAGCTCTAGTTGTATATAATAATCTTTTATTTTTATTTTCATCATTCATTTTCTGAAAATTCTGAAGAATAATATTAAATATCATTTATTAATTTTAAAAGTTATACTTGATCATATTATTGTATTTATTCATCATTTTTTAAAGAAAATATTTTTGTTTCTTTGTATTGATGAATCTTTTTTTATATTTAATAAAAATGTTAATAATAAAAATCTCTTTTATAGTTAATATTTATTTATTTATCTCACTAAATTGATTATTATTATGTAACCTCCTGTTATTTCTATCAAGTTTTACTTTTTTAAAATAGTTATATTAGCTTCTTCAGTATTGATATAAGACTTATAGCTAGTTCTTTATTTAGTCATATAAAGAATTATACTTAGATTTTATTGAATTAATAATTTTAGGTACTAACTTTTGTAAGATTTTTATAAGTTTTATTTGTAAAAGTTTTATTAGGTTTGAAGTTAAATTTAAGTGGTAATATTTTAAGTATTATCTTCATTTTAATCTAATCATTAATAAATAGAAAAAAAAATAAATAAAATTGAAATTTAACCAAAGATTTATAAACTCTTACTTTTTTAGTATCTAATTTTTCATTTTTACCTATTCTTTTAAGTCTTTTGATTGATTTGTATTGATATTTGATAAATCATACATCATTATCTAATTCGTTATTAATAATATTAAAATTCTTGATAATTTAAAGGATTTGTACTTTTTGAGTCTTTTGTATAATTGCTCATTTTCTTAACCAATAATTTATTTATGATTATTAACATCTGATTTTGTCTTAAAGATTTTTAATAATAATTTGTTAATAAAATTTTTATAAATCATATACATATCATTCAGTAAATTTATTTTATATTTTTGTGTCTAAATTTATTATATCAAATAATTATTATGATAGTTTTTGAAATGTGGCATTTGAATATCAAATGTAATACTTAAATTATAATAGATTTTGCCAATTTTTAATGCCAACTGAAATTATGATAAATTATTTGACCGATTGATCTGAAGTTTGAACATGACTGATTTTTTTAATTTCATAAAATTATAATTATAATTATAAAATTAAAATAATAAATTAATATTATAATTAAAAGTAAGAAATGAATCTATTTAAACAAAATTGTTACTTCAATTAAAGTAAATATGTATTTTGATTTTTTTAATTTTTTTCTAAATAAAGTTAATAAAGTATATTTATTTATTAATTTCATATTTTATAATATAAATGATTTCTTTTAACAAATATCAAATGACTTATTATTTCAGATATTAAATAAAGTTTTTTATAAAGATATTCGATTACTTGTTTTATAAAAATCCATCTTAATAGAGGTAGCAGGAATTAATAAATTCCATTTTAATAAATTTTTGATGTTAATATCAAAGAATAATCATTATTCATATTTTTTTGAAAGAATAGGAAAATTATAAATGAATTTAGTATAAATCGTTTTAATTTTTATAATTATATAATCAATTATTTTTATTAAATTAGCAAATAGTAAGACTAGACAAATTTATACCAAATCTGAACTTTGAAAATAATTTATTTTAAAAAGTAAATTGAACTTTTATCATATACTTATAGATTATCCACCTATATTTACTTAGGTTCTATATATCCAGATATTCTACAGAGGGTTACCAAAAGTTTCTGAACGGTATTTTGTATATTGAATTATTCAACAACGTATGATTCAAACTCTATGAATATTTTTATATTTTGTAAATATGTTCGCAATATATATAAAATTTTATTCAATTTGAATCATAGGTTATCGAGAAAACCAATGTAAACAAATAATTTTAATTAATTTTAATTGCTTATGATCATTTATAATTCATAAACTAAATTTTATATAATATAAATGAATATTAAATCTATAAAATATCAATCTTTGAGCAAATTAGATTTACTAATTGGTGAGAAATTTGATCTAAATAATAATAATAAAAATATAAAGATTTATCGATCACCTTATAGGAACAGGATCAATATTGGAGTTTAATATTATATAAAAATATTTGTTTAGCTTGCGGATACTTTATATAATAACTCAAACAGGAACTCTTCATATAGAAGAAATTCAAATCAATACTCTAGAAGTCTGTATGTTAATAAAAATCTGACCCAACCGGCGATAGAATAATTGGTGGAATTAGAGTAAATCTCGCGATAATTTTAATACTATTATACATATATTGCTGTAATACATTCAACGTTTGAAACCACTCATTCAATCTTGATTTCTTATCCAGAGTCAATGCTTGGCATAATGCTCGATCCAAAAAAAAAAAACGCTGCAATGCTTAATCCAGTGGTAACGAAAATGTTATTGATCGCAATGGTTATGCTTTTAATTAAATCATGGAATTCTATCGTAATGGTGATATCAATTTGGAAGAGAAAACTTTTAAAATCACTTCTATAAGGCATAAATCATCCTGTGCTAAAATTCTCATCTCTCAACAAATATTACGAAGGGAAATAGAGTACTTTCAAATTCCCCCAAAATTGAGCTGTGAACGAAGTGGAGCTGCATTGGTAACAAGTTTACTGATTTATTAGAAATTGAACTTTTGGAGGCAACAAGCAAAATCATCAACAGAATCAAAATTCTATTTTGTGAAAATGGATTTAGTTCATGGCAGAAACCAAGTGTGAAATATGATAATTTGAGTAGTAAATTCTGCAACAGACATACAGCACGGATTATGGCTCAATATCCATCAATTGGATTGAGCGGGTAGACTTTTACATAAATCTTGTATGTATATCTACCTCAACATTAACTTTGATATTGTACAACTTTATCAATTTAAAAATATTATTGGCGGGTCAATATAAAAATGAGTGATGAATACTTGTAATTAATTAATTGCAGACAAACCCTTTAAATGCATACTCATTCGGACCAATACGGAATGTAAGTGCATTTATAAGTAGAATAGTAAAGATCTTATAAGTTTATAACTGGATAAATTAGAACAAATTACGAATACTTTAAAATTCCTTTTTGGAATTGGAAAATAAAACTGAGCTCGTGGAGCTGAATTAGTAATCGAAATTTTGAAAATGGATGTGGTTCATGGCAGAAACTATTTGGTTACGGGATGAGTAGTAAATTCAGTACGGATTGAGCTTCAATTTTCATCGATTGTTTGGCAAGATGAGAATGGTTATAAATCCGATACCGGGTTGGAAGAAATTTACCACAAAAATGTATACAACCACACCGACTTTATCAAGATTGAGAATGTCATGAGCAATGTGAAATCTGGACAATATAAGTCAGAAAACAATGAAGAAAATGAGTGAGGAAAGTTAATAATTTAAATTTTAGTTGCAAAATAAAATAATTGTCTGCGGCAAATCAAAATTATTTGTCGCAGTAAACGTAACGCCCCTTTGTTATAAACGGATTAAAGTTATAACTAGGGTCCTGTTGATTGACAAGGTGCTACTGGGGTTGACAGAATCATCTGACCAATTGGTGCGACAACCATCTTGTATAAATTCTTCTTTTTCGTTTGCATTTGTTCAAATATGATTCTCCAAGAAATTCATCTCATACATTGAAGCTCGTATAGGAAAAACTCTTATAAAAGTCGCCATGTTAATAAAAAATCTGATTCAACGAACGACAGGATTATTTTAAATGTCGGCGGAATTATAGTAAGTCCACGGCATTTTTAAAAATTTCATACAACCATGAATTGTCAAAACTTTCACTAAAACCTATTTTTTCTTTTTATTAGTATTTTAAAAAAAATTGGAAACTGGGTGTGTGCCGCAGTAAAGCAAAGGATTATATAAAAAGCTTTTACAACATAGAATGTATGAATCAGTTGTTAAAGTGATAAAAACTAGTGGTTGTTAGATTGCAGTGCTACTTTTTTACGGTGCTACTGGTTGTCAGAATCATCTGACCAATGGGCGACAGCGATGTTCTATAAAATAATCTTCTTTGTGGGTCTTAAATTGAAAGGGCAGAATTCTTCAAGGAAACTCAAAAACTATTCAATTTGAAAAAAATTCAAATATTAATAAAAAATCTGACCTAGAAAATGATAAACTAATTCAGAATATAGGAGGAATCAGAGTAAGTCCGCAATATTCTTAAAATTGCCAAACATACATTGCAAGAAGTTAACACGTTCAACATTATTCTAGCGTGAACCACTCGTTCGACTTAACTACTTATCCAGAGACAATGCTTGTTAGTATGTTCGGTCCAACCAATGCTGCAATGCTTAAGCCCACACATCCTGATGGTAACGAATATTTTATTGATATGCCTTTTTATTATATCATGGAATTTTATCGTAATGACGATGTCTTTTGAACGAGAAAACCTTTAATATTACTTCTTCAAGGTGTAAATCATCCTGTGCTGAAATTCTCATATCGAAACAAATATTACAAAATTCCCTTTTTGGAAAAAGACAGAACTTGCTGAACGAAGTGGTGCTACATTGGTAGACGAATTTGCTGATTTAAAAGATGAAATTGAGATTTATATTCCCAAATGATGATATAGTCAAATTAAGCGGGTACCCATAGCCATGTGGGTACAGGTTTAAATCAAATGCATTAATTCCTTAGACACATGGGGTATAACTTGGTTCTGGTTTGTGAAGAAAAAATATACCATTCATGTACATTGTCAGTTGAAAGCAACCAAAGTCATCAATAGGATTGAAATTCTCTTGGATATACAGCAACGCAAAGTCCATATGGAAGATATAAAGAGTTGACTAGTAGTAAATTCCGTATCTCAGGATATAGAATCTTGAAAAATTTTCTGACAGACTTGAAACACGAATCAAGGCTCAATATCCATCGATCGGTTGGAGGATTACGAGTATTGTAGATATGGTACCGGGTGAACAGGCCTCTACAATGCTACTAAATATATATACACTAACTTTAATTTTAAGATGGCGATTCCTATCAATTGTTCAATTGTACCAGTTTTCAATTGCCAACTTTATTATCTATATAAAAAATTGAATTTTAAGAAGCTAAATCAACGGTAACACCAAATTGTGACTTGTTGATCACAAAATTTATTTCATCGATCGACCAAACGGTTGATCGATTTATTAAGGCAAAATGGCGTTAGCAAATTTTTTAAATTTACATTTGGAAATCTTTGAATCAATTCTTTTTGCATAACCTAAATAGGTTGAACATGAATTACGAATACGGACTTTGTGCGATGATATTTTTAAACATGCTGAACAAAAGCAGAAACATGAATACTTTAATAACATTAATTCAAAACACGAACTAAATATATATATATAACTATTAAATGGGTAACCTAACATTTTATGTAATAAATTTATTTAATCATATTTAATCATATTTATTCGAACTACAATAATTGTGACACAATCAATGGAATTTGATTGGCCGACCTTTTATAATAAGAACGTGTTTTTCGGTTTTTGTGATTTTTTTTTTTCATTTTGCATTTTAACCTTTTACATATTTTACATAACAAAAAACAAACTCAAAATAACCATATATCAAAAAATGAAAAGCAAAATCCATTTCTATCCTGATGGAGACATTATCATCATCGTGGATTTAACAGAGTTTTGTGTTCATAAGAATGTTTTATGTCTTGCTTCAACCGTATTTAAAGACATGATCATCAACGCGAGTCAAACTTCAATCAATGATCAAATGATAATGGAAATCACTCTTAACAACGAATCAGCAAAGGATTTTGAAGATGCTTTATCATTTATCTATCCTTCCGTCTATATTACCATTAACTGGTCTAATATCGTTGAAATGTTTAGAATTTCTGAAAAGTTTAAAATGGAAGTCATTTTTATGTCCGCGACGACATTCGCGATGGAGAAATTTCAGGAGAATCCTCTACTATTCCTATCCTTATCTGAAAAGTATGGGCTCAAAAAATTATTCAAGGAAGCATCTAAACTGGTCATTGACGATTTTATCGAATTCAAGGAGGATCCTGCTTTTCAAACATTGTCAAATGAAACGATATTAGCACTTTATAAGAAACATCATGAATATGTTCTTAACCTACATCATCTTGATGTGGAAGACCTTAAGTGCAATTATACACCAAAAATTAGATGTGATTGTGTCACGGGTGAGACGGATAAATTATTTAAAAGGTTGAGGAAGATTAAAAGATTTGAAACGCCAACACCATCAAAAACCTATCAAATACTTTGTACCATCAGTGATCATGAATCAAACGGTTATAGTTGTATAAGAAATTTTTTCAATGAACATCTTCCAAATAGATTTAAAGAAATATTTGGTACAGTGGAACCATTGGATTCGGACAGGAGAAATGATAAAGCCAACCGATATCTCTTTATTGAATTGGGAGGATGATACTTTTTTTTTAAAAGAAAAAAAAAAATAATAAAAGATTTAAAAGTTTTAGGAAGAATTTAAAGTGGTAAGATCTTAAAAATTCAAAAATTGATGTAAAAAGATTTTGATCTTTAATACAAATGTAAAAACATTAATAGAAAATTGCTGAAATTTTTTCCCGAGAATTTATTTAGAATTAGTGTTATATATGTATGTATGATGCTAATTTTTTCATGCTTTGTATCATTCTCACAAAAATGTTCATAAAAAAAAAAAAAGATGATAACTCGAACCAATTTTATGCTACGTTAACTACGCTAATTTTAATTAGGGAGATAAACCTTTTCTTGCAGCGAGAAAATATAAAGTAAAAGAGATTCCTATAGAGACACCCCAAGTCAAAGTACGTAAACCAGCTACACTAGCCGATTCATTATTCATATAAATAAAATTATAAATGACTCGAGTGATGACATAGGAGGTTGATAAGAAATTGACCGTGGAAACCGGTACTCCTGACATATTAGCGACAATCTATTTACAACAATAATAAGAATTTTAAATGATGATTTCAAAAAAGAAAAAGAAAAAATTCACGGAAATGATAAATTGTTACTTACCACGGCAGCAGCAAAAATTGGAAAATTTTCTAATCCATTCTGATGAGCGGATTCACAACGTTTTGCTCTACGCCAAACATCTTGGGTCATTTGTTTTTCCGCTTTATTAACATTATCTCTTGGACTAATATTATTCCATTTACCGGTTTGTTTTGAAACAAGATAACCCTTAACAAAATGTGGATAATAAGCAACTATGACTGCTGCTGGAAGAGCGTAAAGTGACATTTTTTTTTTTTTTTGTTAATTTGACAGTAAAAGATGATTTTTTTTTAAAAAAAAAAAAAAAATTAAAAAAAGATTTTAATGGTTTTTATATAGAAAATTATCTAATTATCGGACTAAATAAGTATTGTCGGCAAAACAATATCCAGTATGGCTAAATGTTTCACACATTATCTTATATATCTTATAATAATTCTTATAAAATATTACACAATATTATGTGTTATTCACATGAAAGGTTTCCATATTAGATGGAATTATGAGAGTATTATTGCTTAATGTCCCAATTTGATCTCCATATTTAGGGTGTTTTCGCCCCAACTTTACAGTCTTGTTATACTGAACTTGAATTTTCGGGTAGTTGGTAACATTAATAAAAATCTCAACTCTAACGCCTACATTAAAACCTATCATTACCCCACATTACGCAAAGTTTAAATTAGGCAATAACAAGTCCTGTAAGGGAATAGGCTCCCACGCCAGCCTAAGCTGACTCCTTTTCCTTTT